GTTTATAAAACTGGGCCTGATGTGCCTGGTCAAACAGCCATGCCCCACAGACACCCACTGTCCCCACGGAGCGGCTCCAGCCCATGTCGTCCACGGCAGCAACAAGGCCAGCAGCCAAGAGGTGAGCGCGGCCCAGGTGTCCAGGATGAAGGATAAACAGAACGTAGTCCACCCATACAATGACATGGAATTCACCTGAAAAAGGAGGGAAATCCTGACACGTGTCACAACCTGGCTGGGCGCTGAGGACGTGACGCTGAGTGAAATGAGCCGGTCCCAGAAGGACAGACACTGCAGACTTCCGCTTGTAGGAAGGCCTTAGAGCAGCCAGATTCGTAGAAGCAGAGGGTAGAGGTGGGTGCCGGGCGCTGGGCCGCCGTCAGCGTGGAGCGGGACAGAGCGTCAGTCTCGGAGGGCGAGAGAGTGCTGGACGTGGACGGCGGCCCCGGCAGGGCGGTGCGGGGGTACCTGGTGCCCCTGAACGGTGCCCGTTACGGTGTTTACGATGGGAAAATTTTTTTTTTCAACGTTTATTTATTTTTGGGACAGAGAGAGACAGAGCATGGACGGGGGGGGGCAGAGAGAGAGGGAGACACAGAATCGGAAACAGGCTCCAGGCTCCGAGCCATCAGCCCAGAGCCCGACGCGGGGCTCGAACTCCCGGACCGCGAGATCGTGACCTGGCTGAAGTCGGACGCTTAACCGACTGCGCCACCCAGGCGCCCCTACGATGGGAAAATTTTTATGTGTATCTCACTGCCGTAAATCAAAGGCTACCGGCACTGCTCAGAGGCCCGGGAGGCCCTGAGGCGTAGCTGTTCCTGAACTTGGAAGAACAGGGCATTCACAGCCCCCGCTTATTCTTAAATATTCTTTTATTTATTTATTTATTTATTTTTAAAATTTTTTAATATTTTATTTATTTTTGATAGAGACAGAGCACAAGTGGGGAAGGGGCAGAGGGAGAAGGAGACACAGAATCCGAAGCAGGCTCCAGGCTCCGAGCCGTCGGCACAGAGCCTGACATGGGGCTCGAACTCACAAACCGTGAGATCATGACCTGAGTCGAAGTCGGATGCTCAACTGACTGAGCCACCCAGGCGCCCCTTAAATATTCTTTTATTAATGCAGTCTCTTTCCTTGGATATTTGTGTATAAATCTCTCAGAGCAGACATCTTTTCACAGTCTTTCCTTCCAAACCTCAACACCAAAATATGGTTCCATAGTATCTCAATCTGGCAAATAAAAGCTTGATGCCAGGGGTGCCCGGGGGGCTCGGTCAGTTGTGTCCGACTTCAGCTCAGGTCAAGATCTCACGGTTCGTGAGTTCGAGCCCCGCGTCAGGCTCTGTGC